ATTTAACAGCAACTTAGCAAGATTTGAGATGGCTGCATACACTTGTCTATTTACTGCACAGAGGGGAGTGTTAAACACACACATAGAGGAGCGCCTCCTCTTGAGTCACAAAGTTCTGAGTGGACCTCCTTGCTTTCTAAACTCCTTGAGCTGCAGAGGTAAGGAGCCCAGCTGTGGTTGGATCTGCTCCTAATCCCAAAGTTGGTCAATGGTTTGTGTCTAAGGGACCATATGTGCACAATCTATCTATGTGCACAGCAATCTTAGCAGAGCTAACAAAGCTTGAACAGTCACTTACTGAGGATCTTTACTGGCATGATGCCTTGATGTCAAGATGTAAGGGATCTCTGTGCAGGCATGACCATGAGAGGTGTTCTGCTCGAGGATAGATCCTGTCACGCAGCTCACTGCCATGCATTAGAGCTCAAGGGGCTCTTGGGCTGTCTCTGTTCATGATGTAAAACAATTGGCTTAATCACAGGTTGTTTTTAGGAGTGTTCTCAATGGGCCTTTGGCTGTTGAACCAGGTATCAGCTCTTTCAGTTTTAAGACAGATTTGTGGTCATCAATCTGTCTTAATGAGAGCGTTACCAGTACTATTGCTCATTGCCTTTCTCTGCAAGGCCTCATGTGGAAGACAAGGCCAAAGAAGGGAGTTGGGAGAAAGAAGGGGAGGAGGGAGCACTTTGTCACAGCAGATGATCCCATCTTCTTCATGGCTTTTACTTGTGTGTTTGACTAGTTCTTCTTTGGCCAAATTTGTATCTTTCCTGAGGACTTTCTGATTTCCTAAGTAACACTTGGCACTGGATCCAGTGTGCCATAGGGAACAGGTGGCATGCTTTACCTGCTACCTAAATAACTCATCACCTGAGACTGCGGTAAGCTCTCCTTCAACTGTTGTTGGTGGTATCACTTCTGAGGCACAAGTGTTTGAAGGCAGAAGTCACCTGTGCTCACGTGTGCTTACAGATTATCAGAAAACTGAAGCTGACCACAGGCCCTACTGCTCGCTGTTTGACTCCATCTTCTGTGTTCCAGAACATACAACTATGATCTCTTTTTCCACTCTCCTCCAGAGGTTTCATCAAACCATCCCATTCTTCCTCCATGGTTTCTGTCTCTCAGAGGAGAGAGTGTGATCATGATGCAGTGTTTCCTTCCTCAAATAGCACACCTTTCTTCTTCTCCCACACGGTCCCCAGCTCTGAAACTGCCTGGAGCACATAAGTGCATGTGAAAAACTCTTCACTGTCTCCTCAGCCATCACACTGTTCTCATCTTTTATATTAATTCTGAGCTCTTCATCCATCACAAAACTCTACTATTGTTAGCATCCCATCAAATTCTGCTCCTGTTTGACTCCAGTATCTTAAAACCTCCTTTCCTCCCTGAGTTGTGCACTCCCTTGTGCTCTGCCATGTGCCTGTTTTTTCCTCCTATGGGTAATTAATGCCCTCTCATCACCACTCACTGCTGGTTCTGCCCCATCTTAGCACGAGTGTCCCCAAACTCACCCATCAGAAATACTTATTTTTAACTGCCCTTTCTGTCTGGATGACCCCATACACTCTGATTTTCTTATTCATTCTGAGAACTTGTGCACTCCCTGCTGAAATCTACCTGCAACTGAAATAGTTTTAATTTTATTTTTTGTCTTTGTAGTTTGTTACATCCCATGTGGACTGAATTACAGAATCACAGAATCACAGAATCACAGAATTGCCAGGGTTGGAAGGGACCTCACAGATCATGAATCTCCAACCCTCCTGCCACATGCAGGACCACCAACCATCCCACCTAATGCTAGACCAGGCTGCCCAGGGCCCCATCCAACCTGGCCTTGAACACCTCCAGGGACGGGGCATCCACAACCTCTCTGGGCAGCCTGTTCCAGTACCTCACCACTCTCTCTGTAAAGAACTTCCCCCTGACGTCCAATTCCTGTCTGAATGGTTGTTTGCTTTCACAGTACTTCACTGGTACATTATCTCTTTCAGGTTCTTCCCAGAAAGGACCCACACTCACAATCTCTGAAACAATAAGCACATAGCACTGTTCTGCACTGCAATCCCTTCCAACAAGAATGCATCTGCCACCACCTTTTCTTGATACCTAAAGGATGACTTGAGCCTTCAGCTGCACTCTGCCTTTACTCTAGCAGGGCTGCCACCCCTGGTGCAGCTGAGCTGTGTGACTCTTGCTAAGTCCTACATTTTGTCCCCCACCATCCACTTATCCTGAACATCTTCACCCTGTGCTTCCTGTATGTGATGCTGCTACTGCCCCTCTGCTGTGTATCGGATAAGCTTTGCCAGATGAATGACCAGCTCTGCCTGCCACATATGGCATTGGAGAGAAAATGAAGATGTATATAGGAGAACTTGCTGTCCTGCACACACCAGCAGTAAGTGCAGCAGCCCCTCATGTCCCGTGTGGCCCACAGAGGTCTGAAGTCTGCTAGGCAACCCCTTCATTGTGGTGCATGCCTGTGTCACACGGTCTGAGCTGAGATGGCAGCCATGTGTGGTTGTCACTGAGATACAGACAGCAGGGAGCAGAACCTGTTTTTTTGTAGAAGATTCAGTTCGTGCTGAAACGAAACACTGTTTTTCAATATTTTTTGCTCCCCAGGGCACATAATGAGAGCACACAACCTGCAAGTTATACTTGGCCAAGAATTCTGGACATCTGGAGATGTTTGTGGAAATATTAGAGTAACTTGGGAAGGATTAATTGAAGATGCACACAGTTGTGAGGTGTTAAGCCCTGATTAAATGCTCTTTACTGTGTAGTCACATTTTATTACAACTGACATATGTTTGGAACACCAGTAAAAAAGAAAGCACATCATCTATTTACAATCACTACACATTTACATTATATTATTTACAGATAATGAATTTAGTAATATATTTGAGCAGAAAATATAGCAAATATCAATACGAAACTGTACAGGGCTTAATCTCATGTCCTATAGTGGAGTTGCATTTCACTGTAATAATAAATACAGTTCTATATTTACAAATTTTACTTTAAAATCTATTAAATGAATTTTAACAATTTCAAGTTTAAAATATTTGATCAAAATATTTCAAACATGCTTATAAAAATAAGACACGGAGCCTTTAGGACTTTCTCAAGCTAAAAAAGTTTTGATAAAAGAAGCTTTCTTTAACTAGTCTTTAGAATTATAACATTACTTTGATTCTCAAATCACTTTACAAACTTCTTAAATATAGCGAGCTGAAAGGAATTTCACTGACATTAAGCAGTGCAGCACAGACAGACCCCAGTTAAATTAAAGCTAAGTAAACATGATAATAGGCATTGTGCAATGGTTGACTGATCCTCTGTTTAATTCAAAGTGGTTTCAGGCATCATTTCCCAGCTGTATGCTGCACTGCTTCAAAACCCACAAGAGATATAGGATTCAGATAAGTACTCAGCTGACTTTATCATACATAATTTCAGCATTGGTTCTTTTTTTTTTTTTTTTTCCCTGAAGGATGAACATGTTAGCCAAAGTCAACTGATGCCATCTGTAACTGCAAAACTGCAAATATGCCAGTTTGAGTAGACAAGAAAGCCAAGGCATATCCATTGTTGGCAATAGAGTCTTCACTGTGAAAATCCATCCTGTGAGCCCCAGAAAGTTGCATATACAGTAACAGATGAACAACAGTGACCATCTGTAACTGATTATCTTAATTACTGGGCTAGCCTAACTGTGGTAACGTTCAAAAATTAGTCTCATTCACCTAGAAGTTGAGTGGCCATTAACTGCGAAGTGATTACTGGGCTATTAAAGGTTACTCCTCAGGGAGCTATTTTTAACAAATCTGTGCATTTCCGTGTCATAAATGATCAGCTCACTTGAGCAAAAATACGCCAGCTCTAAGAAAAGATGATTGGAAGGTCCTCTGATGGCTTGGCCAAGGTCAAAGACTGCTTGCCTTCTGGGGAAAGGAAGGGAGCTCTGTACACTTGGAAAAGGTCTGAAGTCTTCTCACCTAATTGCATGATGTGTAAATGTACACATCATGATTCAGCAAAGTATTAACAGATTACAATCAAGAGACGTACTCTATGTTGATCTAATCTAACCAGCTCCTAAACTAATGCCATCAGGCATCCCTGAATTCCAATAGCTGCTCCAAAATCTTTTTTGGCAACGTATCCAATTTGAACTAACTTGGTGACAGAGTTTTCATTTGAAGCCACGGCAAATTGTTCTACTTGGCAGTGACCATTAATGTCAGCAATTCACACCTTTATTTTTATGCTGTGTATATATACCTAGCATCAACCTCCATGGGATCTTACCAGATTCTTCTCCTCCTGACTCAGTCTTTTCTCTTAAACTTCTGTTTTCCAGAAGTAGCTACTTACAAACTGTGGTCAAGCTGCTTATTTGATAAGCTTTTTTTTAAAAAAAAACATATTTGTGACATTGAAATGTTTTATTTCCCCAATGTTCTTTACAGCATGTGAATACAAAAACTGTCTGAATACTCCCATAGTGCTTGCACCCATGCTAAGAACACAGATCATAAAACTTTCACTCTCTGTATTCCCATATCTATCATTAGCCAAAAAGACACAGTGACCTCCACATCTTCAACTAATGACCTTGAGAGGCTTTCTAGAAATGCATGGAGCAGGACTATCATTTTCATTGCCAGACAAATGACCTTACATCAGTGTTTTTGTGTGAGTGCCTTCATGTCACTTACTTGTACTCAACACACCAGTCTGCCTGTATTCATGACCTTCCATGTAGTATTTCTCACCCTCAAATTCTATGAGTCTCTCATCTGTCACTTTTATCATTAGCAGTTCTATTGGCATGCTGGTAATTCATGACCAGATTGCACAGAAACCTTAGGAAAAAAATATTCATGTAGCAATGGCTTGCTGTGATTCCATTTTAAGTGCTTAGCAGGATTTTGATTAACTACTTCTATACTATATCATAATTCTGTGGATTTTTCTGGCAATTAAAATACTTTGTCATGTCAGACAACTTCTGAAAAACCAAAGCAGGTAAACTATTAAATGAACTTTATCTGTTGCACAAGAAGCTTAATTGAAGTATATTCTGCAGAAACCTTTAGGTTTTCCAACAGGACTACTCTTTCACTTAGCTTGCTGAATGAGGGCCATATGCAGATGTTTATAAAAACAGACTTGGCAGTGAATATCTATTATTAAGACCAAATTATATTAAACAGGAAAAAATAACAAAAACCCAACCCATGAAACAAACTGTGCCATGTTTGTGTTGAAGATGTGTTGAAGAAAAAGCTCACCAATTCAGCACAATATTTTTGCTCTCAACCAACTGCCTTTTCCAAGTGGTGCTACTTTGAAAGGGAACTGCCAATACAACTGCAGAAACTGCTGCAGTTTCAGATTTTCTCTTCGTTCCAGCAGCTCTGAAACTGGCTGAGAAGGCTAAACTACTGGATTTTCAGCTTGCTGCAAGTTTTGTTGTCATCTGTTTTGTGATGCATGTAACAGTAATTCAGAGGCAATCTATAGCTTGAAAACACACACCCACACTTACTTTTGGGTTAAAAAAATTTGTAAACATACATATTTTCTGCACTGCCACTGAAACTAGCGACATGGAACAAATGCTACGGATGAAATATTGCAGCTTTCTGTCATTTGATAAGACGATGGCATGAGTGAGTTGCTGGTAGGCATGTCATATGATATGCTAGCACTTGTGAAGGTTACCAGTGCTTGTGTTGAGTCACAAGATTGTTTTTCTATGTCTTCTGAATTCACAGAGATCAGACTAGCATGTTTTGACCTCCTCCATAACAAAGTTTGCTTTCGCAAACTTCCCAAGTCCTCCTTGAAGTGTGGATTGAACAATATATAAAGGAGTGGGTTTAGACACGCAGGCAGTGGGACAATCACCAGCAGTATGGACTTTATCACTTCTGGGCTGATAAAGGTAAGATTTAGTAAGGAGGAAAAAGATAAGAAGGCCACAGGGCAATAAAGAATGCAATTAGTAAAAAGCAGCAAGGCTATATGTTTGACCATAGAGCAATCCCAAATATTGTCTAGCTCTCCCTTTTCTAAACTGCAATAGAGCTTTGTATAAGCAATAGTCATTACCAGGAAACAAAGTGAGTTCAGCAATACGAGTGCTACCATGTAGCCCATAGCAGTGGGTTCTCCAAATGGTAATGGCAAACAAAGTGGAGAAACCCCATACTCACTCCCAGTGAGGAGAGGTATCACTGCAATGACTAATGCCAACATAAAGCAAAAGAAAATGGCAATTTTTACACTAGCAACAGAGGATTTTGTTTCAAACTTTGTAGCATGCTTTATAGAGAACGCACGCTCAAGCGCAGCTAAGGTAAGGAGGAAAATGGAAGCTTCTGAAGCAAAAATGGAGAGAAGACCAGTCATTTGGCAACCAATTCCACTTTCCCACTGTGCTCCGTACTGAGCAAAGCTACCAAAAGTTGATGCATCCACACTAGCCAGTACTCCACTGGAAAGACCCATCAAGGCATTTACAATACCTATTAGGCCAATCAAAAGCTTTATGGAGGACATATACAGCAGAGATCTGAAAACTGTAGCTGTCACCAGTGCATTGCAAACAAAGGTCAAACCGACGATGGTCCATACTCCAATTCTGATAAGCCAGCTACCAAACAGATGATCGCATGGTTTGAAGGGACCTGAAAAGACAAGAAAAAATAAAAGGAGAAAGGAAAATTCATGTAAAGTAAAATTTAATTTTTCACTTTTTTCTTAACATAGCCAAGCAGTGAATTTCACTCCAAAAGGAGATCTGGATATTTCATCTTTCTTCTGGGTAATAAGAGATCTCAATAGTGCACTGCTCATATGCATGTTGCATGTGTCTGTCCCTCCACCTGAACATTCTAGGCTTTTTTCTTTTTATGTTTGTTTTTAATCTATAAGCGCAGTGTAATTGCCATGAAAAATTCTTCAAGAAAGAAAAGGACAGCTGTACTTTCCTCTTGCACCAACTATGGGCTCATATATGTGCAGAGCACCATGTGGGGAAACAGGAAGCTTACCATTAGTTACTGGATACATATTTTACTGTTGTTAAACTAGTAGCTGGAGGTCAAACTTTCATGTGAAACTACTGACTAGATTTCTTACTTACTAAACAGAATGTCCAGTTCATAGTTTCAATGAATGCTGTCATGAGAAGCTGAAAAAGATCCCTTGCTAAACCAGAACAAGTTGCTAATGAGTCCTGGTGAAGTTTGATGTAATGGATATGGACAGATACACTCTGGCTGCCTAACAGCATGTCATTACACAGTTCAAGACCTCTCTGCAGTGTCTTTTCAGAGGAGTGCTTTGCTCTTCATTTTCTCATCCTTACTGATTCTACGAGGTGACTCAAATGGCTTTGACCTTTGAAAAGCTAAAGGCCAGACCTACTTTTCAACTTCCAACACAAGAGGAAGAAAACTTTAATGCATGAAGCATTGGAAAGAATAGGAGATCTCTTTTTGAACAAATAAATTCTGAATAGATTCGGGATGAATTTTTAATCCTTTTTGCCAAGAATCTGGAATGGATCCTAAAAGGCAAGTTATTGAGACAGAAAAATGTAGGTACCATCTTTAAGTCTGTCATCATCTCCAGCATTCCCAGTAAAGTAATGGACACTAAATATCCCATCTTCAAAAGACAAATGCACTGTAATTTACTAGTTTGGATTGAGATCCAGTGAGATCTGAGAGGATTCCATTTAGATTCCGACGATAAATCTGACCTTTTAGAGTTCTTAGAAGAATTAGAGGGTTCTTGAAGAATTTTCATGATGGAAGATTTGACATATTTTATTTTGGCTGCAGAGATTTCCTGAGACCATTCCATTTGAGAAATATCCCCAGAGTGGAATCCTTAAATCTCTGACTTAAAATTCAGATATACTTTTCTGCATAAGTTGACTATCAAGCTAAACTGTAAGTAAGGAAATAACACTGCAGAAAGTGAAAAGTATTATTTAGTAGACTGTTTGAGATAGCAGTTCCAGAATGACACATTGTCGAGATGTGAAGATAAATAATAGAATAGCTTAGGTTGGAAGGGGCATTAAAGATCACCTAGTTTGAATCCCGTTTGCCACCCACTAGATCAGGTTGCCCAGTGTGTGATTGAAGCTGAATGCATAAGAAACATTACTTGTCTTGGTACCAGTCAGCTATGCTTCCTCAAAGCAAGTCATCTACCTTCTCCATGAAGACACAACCCCTGCTGCTGAGCTGTACTCCATACAACTACAACTATTGCCACTGAGTAGGCAGAACCACCCATTGTGTCAGTTTGCAGGTGTCTGGTGACAACTTATCATGAAGACAATGATATTTTTGTGAACTCAATAACAAAGGAGGCAGTAGAGAAATATGGGGATCTTGGCTTGGAGTGAGTCTTGAAGTACTATCTGATTTTTGTTCATGCTTCACAATGGAAGAACAACTGGGGAGAATCTTTGTTGAACAGGATGCTAAAACTAAAAGTTACATTCCAAATACTTTCCTCATCTTCAGGTAAAATTTAAGTGTAGCAGGTGGCAGGTGTAGCTTTTCAATTTAATCACATTTTATTTTTTAAGCCTTAAAACCTTTCCATCATACTGCAAAGCCAGGGATGTACTACTCTCTGAAAGAAATGACTGTGCTGAGTGTGTTCCTTTTGATGGACTGCATGTATTTCAATATTGTAGTGTTTTGTATGTCCTAGACATTAAACTGTTACTCAAAAAGTTCAAGTGTAGAATAACTCAATGAAGAATTACTTCAGTTTTGCAAAGGAAAGAGCAAGCAAAGATTCTGTTCTATTATTATCAGTTTATTGGCAGAAGAGAACCTTTGCTTCCTTGTCCCCCTGATAAGGGGACCAATTCCTCTGAAAAGGGAAAAGAGCGAGGATCTGCCAGAGGACTGTGTGAAATTTCTGGTATGTTCATAGATGAATTCAGTGTTTGCAGAATTTTCTGGAGGACTGTGCAGAATTTCATATTGTTGTACAACATATTATTGCAAATATATTGTTCCCATCCTAGTTTCAGATTCAGAGCTTGTTATTGCATCTAAAATACCCAGTAACATTGCTCTTAAATTCCCATCTATTGGCAGTTCTATACCTGGAGAAGGTGAACACTGCACTGAATGATGAGCTTTCAAATCTTCTTCAAAGTCGAGAAGAAAATCTTCAAAGTCACGCTCATCTGTGGGGGAGAAAATACTCAGATTTGATACTGCATTTTTCAGGAAAATTTCTTTTTGCACAAGCTGCAAAAAAGTCCTAGGTATTTAAGGCCTATTCTCATCTCTCTGCCTGCCAAACTGTAAGCAGAAGCAGATGTATGCTTTCTTGGTTCTAAGTCACTGTACTCAGGATTATTTAAAAAGTTGGCATTATCACTTCTCTGAAAACAATCACTTTCAGAAAGGTGCTTTCTCCATTACCTCATTTGCAGTGTGAAAACTGTGTAGGAAGGAGTTAAAAATACGAATTCCACTGTTGTGCCCCTCTATTAAGATTTAACCCAGGCTCTTCTGTTTTTTTGTGTGTCATTGATCAAACATGTATTCTTGGCTCTCCTCTTGCTGGAATTAGCCCCGAACTTAGAGACCTACTAGTCTTCAGGACTGGAGACAGTGATGAAAGCAGAAGATTGGTATAACATGTATGTATGCACTTACATGGCAGGTCAAATAACAGAACTTCTGCTGAAGGGGGAGAAAAATAAATTTCTGCTCTGCAGAACAGATGCACTCATGGTGCCCAGGAAGTGCCAGGAAAAAAATCCAGCAGCTACACCTTAGTAACCACACAAGCTCTGTGATATCCTGAAGCACGGGTGCAGCAGGACAGAGAAGGCAGTACTGCTACTTCCAAGGCTGGCAAGATACTAAGTCCTTGCTGCTTGATTATTTTATAGAGTTACATACGAGCACCACTTCCTTGTCTCTCAGATAAAGGGAAGATTTCATTTCCCACATTAATACTTGGACAGAAAAACGAGTGAGTGAGTTTTCTGAAAGGCAAACCTGACAAAATGATTCCCTAAGCATAGGAATGCTTGAATAATATATTGCCAGGCAAGAGAGGGAGAGGCTGTCTCTGTGACTGTGAAAGAGTATTGGATAAGATTAACATCACAGGCTGCTCACTTGAAAAATCACAACCTTCAGGGAGATTTAAAAATGAAAGGTGACAATTACCTTGAATTTGTAACAACCCAATATCCTTTCTGGAAAAATCATCAGTGCTGCTATTGTCATCTTTGTGCCATTGGCTGGAAATTTTGTAGTGGCTCTCGCAAGCTCCAAAGGCACAGCATTGATAAGCATATGGCATTTCCATGACCCTGTAGAAGAACATTGAAATATACCATGATAACGGCGTAGAGCACCAGCTACTTCATTGTACTGCTCTCTAATGTTAGTGCAAATGAACTTGGTTAAATAGCCAGAATTGAAAGTAAAAATATTTATGGGTAAAAAACAATCATGATGGTACAAACTGAAGATTCACAGATAGAATCCTCTACCAGAAATGTGGATGATTTCTAGGGTACTTGTAGTAAAGGCCCAGTGAGATTTTCTTACACATTTTCATGGGAGATAGGAAGTAGAAGACATGACTTGCTCTTGAGTGAATGTTACTCTGAGAGTTCCATTTCTATTTTGTCTTTTAATAGTTTTTCAGTGTAACTCAGAGGTTTCTCCATGTTACTTTCTTAATGGTTTCTTTTAAAAAACTGAAAGATCGCAACTGTGCCAAACCTGCCTAACAGGCAAAACAAAAATCTTATTTCCCAAAAGGAATTTCTTCAGTTTTAGGAAATAAGATCTATTTTTGGATTCAAATTTCATCTATATCTCTTTCCACATCAAACATTTTTCACAGTAAAAGGGCAACAAGGAGATATTGGCTTTTGTATATAGACCAAGAAAGTAGTATTCTAAACTAAAAGGTGAATGAATCACTAATGCAGCATATGTGAAAATATGTCACTGAAGAAAAGGTTTTTAGTTTATTAATTGTCACAGGAATGGGCATTGAAGGACTCTGGATGGTCGTTCCTAACTCCTTTAGTAAAATTGGAATTCCTAACACAAAACTGAGTACTGATCAGTGATGTTCAAAGATTCTGAGGCTTCTATTGCCAGAAAATTACTGATTTCCAGTATGTTTTCAACTCCATTTCTCTGTGGATGTGCAAATTCTGGGATAGTACAGAAGAATTACATATATACAACTTCTAAGGGCTACTTCTTCTGTTCCTGAAAAATACTTTATGCACTGGAAATAGAGATATTTAGTTTGCAGATCCCCAGTAACAACATAGTGAAACCTAACAATTCACCTTAATTTCAACAGACCAATAAACCTTCAGAGGTAAAGATGTGACTACTACCAGGTTACTTTCAACAAATTAGTCATGTAAATTAATATAATAAATGTTCTGAGCAACACTTAATGCCCTGAAAAGTCTACAAGAGAATCAGTTTGTGAATTGCGCCCAATGCCAACAGGACTTAAGCTTGCATGCTAGCAAGTTTAGAGAGGAAACCAAACCCTAAGCTCTAAAGTGAATTTTAAATTAGTGCATTTGGAGCACTTAGACTCCTTACACTTATATTTCTGTTGGGAATTCGCAACAATAATCTGTACTCTTGTAACCAGTACAAAATTGCGTAAACTACTTTTTCAGTACTCCAGTAAAAGTTCAAGAAAACTAAGTTCTATCATGCAACTTCGTGCCATCTGACTGACTTAAACATCCAATTTCTAACTCACTTCTCTAACATGTGATCTTTTAAAATATGAAGATTATCTTGATTAAACATTTCTGTAAACTTTTCCCAGAAGCTCTTCTTAAATAAACTATTACTGTATCCACACATTACAAAACTGACCAACAGTTAGTTGCCTGGGCTGACAAAAACAAATAAAAACCAATACAAAACACTTTAAAAAAGGAAACACTGAAATTTCTATAAGGTGATCACTGCAACTTGTGATGTTAAACCTTCTGAAGCGTTTAATATTGCTGAGGAAATAGCTAGTGGGTATTTTAGGTTCAAGAAATGAAAGCAAATATGTTTTGGAAAGGAATAATTCAGTTGGAAAAAACTTTCACCTAGTCCAACTGCCTGAGCACTTCAGGGCTGATCAGAACTTAAAGCACATTACTGAGGGCAGTGTCCAAATGCCTCTTGAGCACTAACAGGCATCTACCACCTCACTAGAAATGCTGTCCCAGTGTCTGACCACCCTCACAGCACAGAATTGTTTCCAACTGACCGACCCTCCCCTTGCAGCTCTGTGCTGTTCCCATTCTGCCATTGATTCCCAGGAGCAGAGCCCAGCACCTCCCTCTGCTTCCCCTCCTCAGGAGCTGCAGAGAGCACTGAGGTTGCCTCTCAACTTCCTCTCCTCCAGGCTGGGCAGCACAGTGCCCTCAGCCTCTCCTCACAGGAAATGCCTTCCATCCCCGTTACCTGCTTTGTTACTCTCTTCTGGATATTTCCACTTCTGACCAGTTGGCTGTGCTGTGTTTAATGCATGGCTAACAAGAACAGATTTTCAGATTCTTTTGGGCTTTTACCCACTGGCCTGTCATGGAGTTGAAATGTGGACCTCTCACACGGTGCTGTTCCACAGCTTCCTCAAAGTCGCCAGAAAAATTATTTTTGGTTAAAGACTAAGACTCCAATTTCTTATCCTCTCTTTAAGACTTTTAAGAACCTTTTGATAAACCCAAACAGCTGAATTTGGTTTTTTATTTTTTATTTTTTAGTAACTAGGTCATACATACAGGTCTAAATCCTGCAAATACTTCTGAATTTCTGTGCAAAGCATATTTGAACAGACGGAATGGGACCCAGAACACAATGGATAAAGTATACTTTGCAATGGAAAGAAATTAGTGCCAGTTCTTGGTGACAGAGGAATTCCTTTCTTTTAAAAGCAACTTTTAACATGAAAAAAAAAAGGCAACTCTCAGCCATACAGTGCCAGAAACAGTCCTTTTTATACCTGGTGCTTATGTGATACTGGTGATTAGATTTGGAGTTTGTCAAATTATAGTCCCATAGAAAGGCTGTCTGAATTTATTTTTATATATTGCTTATCTTACTGATGGTATCTGTACCCCTGACATTCTTTTCCTGCTTCAAGGAATATCTTTTTTCCTGATTTTAGATCAAACATCAGAGAACACAAGATTGTTTTCCACCTCACAAAGGTGCAGGGTTGGTTGATGGTGAATGGAAATGCACAGTTATGACGGATGGAGCTAGTCACTGAGTTCTTTACAGCACTGAATCAAAGCATCAGATAAAGAGGGAAGGAGTGGTTGGCAGCCTGACTTTACTTCCTCATAGCTTACTATAGCAAGCTGGGCTCGGCTCTTTGAGCATTCTTGTGCCATTGCTGAAGGTGGGGCAGAGGATGCTCAGCTCTTTGATGTGTTTGTGTATTGAACAGCAATGACCCATTTAGATGAGCAGGAAGTTTTTATACAGGGATTTGTCTTTAATGTTGTAACCAATGTCTAGTTCCAACAATTAGAAAGGGTGAAATTTCATTTCGTTTCAGATCTCTGTTCAAGTTGGAGCTTCATGCACAGTCTGCAGTGATCCTGCATGAAATCCTGGCCTCATTTTAATTTATGGTACAAATCCTACAGAATCTAGGATAGGATTTTATCCCAGTCTCTCCTGAATGGATATAATTTGCTTTTACAGATGTTAATCAGCTCTAAATATATCAGTCATAGTTTTTATATCTTTTTAAAGAATTAAGCCATTGCTTGGCACATCCTTTTTAATTACTCATTCCAACTAAATACATTGTAGTTGCATTTTAGCAATATATATAATTTATCTTGTGAAAAAAACACCACATAAAGTATAATATTGATAAAAGAATTCAAAAAATCTTAGCTGTACACAATTCAGTTAAACAGTAAATTGTTCTAGGACTACTGGAGGTATACACATGGTATATGTATTACTGTATTTTTTCTATTTTGGAGTGATCAATTTTCTTGTGTTTAGATTCTTTTTAAGAGGCTTTGGGCATTTTAGAATTATCCCCTGCCTCAACATGTTGGCAAAGTCAGTGAGAGAAGAAAAACAGGCAGAAGCTCAGGCTCTGATATTCACAACTTTTTATGATACTTGATTCTTGACCTCTGAGACTCATCTGAAGACTTATCTAAGGCCTCTAGTACTTTGAACATTTATGTTACAAAGTAGTTTTACACGCTGCGATTGAGTCACTACCCAGTCTCCTCTGTGACAAACTACAAATACTGGGTTTATTAAGTCTTTTAAGGCACTGCTTCATGGCCCTCGAATCATTTTTGCAGCTCTTCTCTCCGTTTAATATAACATAGCATCATAGAAGTACTCCAGTATGGTTCTATCCAGAGCTTTATTCAAACATTTTATCATCTCCCTACTTCTACTCATCACACCTTTATTTGTAACTACAAAAACTCCAGTCCTTTCCATCAGTAGCACATCTCCTTGAGTTGTCAGCATATAATGCCTTATGGAACTCTTCCAGTGCAAAATGCAGATTCTAGTGAGGACATAAGTATGGAGTCTTCCTTGCAGACTTTCAAATCTGTATAGACATAGGCCTGGGCAACTGGCTCCAGGTGGCTCTGCTTGAGCAGGAAGTTGGGCTAGATGACCTCCAGAGGTCCCTTCCCCTCTACCACTCTGTAATTCTGTAATTATGTCCATACAGTTTAACTGTTTTGAATTTTATGGTATCAAAAATTTTACATTAAAGTGAGGAAAAAAAATATTTTTCAGTTTGCATCCTCTAATTAAAACATGAAAATCAAGGGAAAGTTAAGGAACACTCCCCAGTATCCTGAAATCAGAGGCAAAATTATTTACTGTGTCATGCAGTGACTGGCAGAGCTGCAAATAATCTCTAGATAACAGTTCCTTCTTCTGTATCACAGAACATACAGCAGAAAATTATTAGCATCAAAATATTATAGTAATAATGGAAAAGTTTTGGGGGGTTCAATGATCTCTTGAGGTCCCTTCTAACCCCTGCAATTTCGTAATTCCATGGCTTTGTGTTATCTGAATCTTAAACCAAATATTACAGAAAAAAAAAAACAAACATTCATTTTTACTCGAAACAAAAATGGCCATATATCTTAAAACTTCAGTAGTATATTTTTGATATTTACTGAGTTCTCTCTAAACATAAGGGAAATTCTGTAAGCACAGACCAGTAGAAAGACATATCATATCATATTGTTTTAACAGCTTTTGAAATATATCACCAGGAAGCAGATGTGGCTCATATTAACCAAGTACTGGGGTTAATATTTCAAAACACTTCACAGTTTCTTCAGTTAAAAGTGAACATAATAAAATAAGTCTATCATTTTTATCATATTTGCTTTGGTTTTAAGAGCACAGATCAAAGACTGACAATATGAAACAACATGCATTACACACTGACACACCTTCCACTGCACATGAACACAAATGTAGCTTATTAGTTTTAATGATATACTCACTTGAGTTCAGGAAAATTGTCAGATGATATCAAACTTTGTAGTGCATGATTTCCTGTTAATTTTAAATGAGTTAGACCATGTAGCCCCGTCACAGGAAAAGAGGACAAAAGGTTGGATGACACATCCCTGCATAACAGCAAATAAAAATCAGCTTACAGGTTCTGTTTTATTTTAATTCAGTAATAGAAATGTCATATTGGAAAAGCAGGCTATAGTTTTCCAAACTGATAAACATTGACTGTGTTATACACACGTCTCAATCAACAGAACGAAACTGCAACAGCACTCAGGAATATACACCTATATTTTCAGCAGAAAGCTAACAGTGATCAAGGGGAAATGGTAAAGTAAGCAAAGGCAGATGTTCAGATGCATTCTGTTTTCTATTACTCCCCCTCCCTTCCATTTATTCAGTAAGCTGTTTCAGTCCTTTTCATGATAATCTACACTTAAGATGGTCAATGCTCAAGAAGAAAAAAGGAGAGTCTGATGCTACTGGAATGTTTTTATGGTGGACTATAAAGTTCTTGTCCCTTGGACATCTAAATCAAAAGGGCTAGTCATAAAATAACAGATTTGTTGATGTACTGCTCTTCTACCTTTTCATGTTTAATGTGCACATACTTGTGCATGTGTATGTCCTACTGCTCACAAGATAGTTAATTACCAAAGGTGAAATTTTGGTCCTACTGAACTGGTGAAGCCTACCATGACTTCATTCAGATGAGGGCTACAGAGTGGCATTTCAGGTAACACTCAGTACAATGGTTTATGTGTGTGTTCAAAGGGTTTTCTACTGATCAAGGGCAGAATTTTTTGCTGGCAGCACAATGTTCCTGTACTCTTTCTTCTGCAAGAAAGCACTAAGGAGGATCCCCCAAAAAGGATGCCATAGGCAATATTCTCCTCATAGACATTTTTCAGTCCACCATTCAGAGGGTGGCTTAGTTCATCAAAAGAAATTAATGCCTCTTTTCAAATTTTTGTTTCCTGTAACTCCCAAATCAAACTACAGGATTATCTGTGATCAGATACCTGTCAGCATGCATTTGTGAACAACTGCAGAGCAAGATAACTCCAGAGGAATTTTCTTTCATGTTGTCCCCAGGGATACACCCCAGGGATTCACCTTATAGAGTTATTGCAATTATAGTGCGAAGAATGAAAAAGAAAAGACAGAAGTGCTTGTAAGTAAGACCTGCAAAATTGGATTTTTGGTGTTTTATCCATTAAATATTCTGACTGAAGTTACTTAAGAAGAAAAACTATTCCATGCAATGAGAAACAATGTTTGTAATTTGATTTTGAATCAATTTCCTTAGTTTTGATACACAACTAACAAGGTATCCACCCCACTGTTAAAAGACAGTAAATGACGAACAAATTGAAAGAAGAATGGCAGATACACTCATATGTTTAATGGAGCCCTAATCACCCTGATTACACTCTGGTATATGCAGCTTTGCCATAATACCTACAGGAGTTGGTGAAGTACGAGAAAGCAGACATTTAGATACAGATCTGACAGACCAGAAGATTAGAACAGAGACAGCCTCTATTTCTGCTGAGTGGGGCAATTAACAAGTTACCAGTGCTTTGTAGGCTCTTGCAAGAAAAATGTTAAAATTTAAATGTAAAAGATATACAAATACTTACAGTTTGATCAGAGATGGTAAAGAGGAGAAGGCATTGGGGTGAATAATTTTAATTTTGTTCCAAGCTAAATCCCTACAAGAAAAGTGAGTGGAAAATTACATACCCACTGAGTGAATATGGAAGTTTTCATACACTTGATTAGGGTGCCTAAATATAAAAAAGGTATTAATTACATGCAAATATTTTCAATAAACTTCTGCAAATCTCATGCTGCAAAATCTTATTGAAATTTTTTAAATTATGTTAGTCAGTTAATGGAGTTAGTTACTAAAGTGGCAACATTCTCTAAAACTTCTTAATGCATTTTGCAGTCTAACTCAGTTGTTTTCAGTCTTCAGTTTCCCAAGGCAGCATACAGAGGAGTGGGATATACAGACTACTTCTAAGAGGCCCTTATGATATGACTAGAAACAGCAAATCCATTGTTAATAAACTTAACTTCTTAGTCACAAACCAGGAAAAACTGAAATAAGTAAAAGTAGCTACATAATACATTATATATAAAGGCTTGATCCTGCAAATACTCATAAGTAATTTATCTACAAAATTATTCTGCTTTGTCTGTATGAAAACTAGAAACATAATATGTTTGAAATTTATGATGGCTGCTCTGAAATTAATGCCTTCTATTTTATTACGTTGGCCCATGACATCAGAAGCAGATGTTGGTAGTATGGCAGTAGAGGGTGAAACTTCCCTCCAGTATTCCATTACATTTTGCTGCTGTGTGACAGATGGCAGCAGAGGAGCGGTCTGATAAAATGGTGGTGCATATGAAGCAAAGGAACATCACCAAATTCCTCCATGCAGAAAAAATGACACACATTGACACTTGCTGAATGTTTATAGAGACCAAAGAGTAGATGTGAGCACAGTCGGGCAGTGGGTAGTGCATTTCAACAGTGGCAACAGTGATGTGAAAGACAAGCCACCTTCCAGATAGCCATGCACAGCTGTCACACCATGAAATGAAGAGCATCTTAACCAGCTCATCCACGTGCAAATCGGCTAAGTTTGACCACGATAAAAGTTATGCTTTGAAGCTGAGAATTTGTTCTATCAAATAATGTTATTATGCTCCTTGTATCTGTTGTCATTTTCATGGGAAGAATTACTTTTGGAACGACCTACGTATTTCTTATTATTCTTCATAGAGAACACTTACCTCTATAAAGATTTCATGCTCCTCAGAGCTGATTCTGCCAACAGAGACAGTATCTTTCTCCACCTCTATCATAAATATTTAGAAGTAACAGCTTCTATATCTGTAAGTTTACATATCTGAGTTCATTGTTCAGATACTAAACTTAACAATGTTTATTCTGCTTTCAAAATCACAACTTGATTAAAGATCAAAGTGAGGAGAAATAGAAATTAGAATTAGACTTGTGGCAGACAGTGGACAGACAGTGAATAGACAGTGAATAAATAGAAAATATACCCCCATGTGTTTGAGCACCAACGTGAACCACCAATAGTGCTGTACTCACAGAGAACGAAGAGAAGCCAGCTGCCGGAATGTGTCTGCTTTGATTTCATCAATTTCATTATGATGCAAGTCACTGAAACAGTAATAAAAATTCTCTCAGTTTCAAAGGTACCCAGAAGACACTAGGCAGTACTATAGACCATTTGTGATCCACTTCAGTACATTGTAAGGATACGTATTTGAGTACGTGAAATTGGTCAGTAGTAACTGAATTAATGATGCTCAAGCAAATTCTATCTAGATGTCTCTTTTTAGGCATTCTAGGATAGTTTGAAGCTTACATTTTTTGTAGCTTTTTACATGCAGTAAAACAGGGTAAATCTTCCAGCAGATTATAAGACAGATCTCTGTAATATACAAGAAAAGAAAAGATTAACATTCAATGTAATGCTAAAAGATTTGCTTTCTTGTCTCTCTTCATGCTCAATTAAAAATAACTTATTTTACAGGAGAGTAGAAATGTGCAGACTCAGTTATTATCTTTCATCTGACAGCTTTTAATTTCTAACTGAGGGGAAAAGAAAAGATATATTAACTCCAGATACTGCTTTTGCAAATTCCTTGCATTGTCTGACAATTTCCTGCTGAAGTGCAGACTTCTATTGGCAGTCTGCTTATAGAGAGCATTGGCTTTGCATCACAGACTTCATATTCATCACATTAAACTTCTGATAAATATTTAAACCATTTAAAATGCACTAATAAGTATCTATTTACAAATATGTTAAATGTATATGTACATTTTGTCTGAGAATATCCTTTATTTTTCTGGCAACAATCACAATGAACTCTAATTAGCTTTCAGTTTTACACTTCTGATTAAGCAGTATTGCCTCTGATCCTTAGAACTGTTACATCTTATAACTGAGCACTGTGGTTAAAGATATGGGAACTAACTTTGAAATCAATCACTACATGAGGGAAAAAAGCTCTTGAAAAGACTTGAGCCAAAACTCAACAAATTACAGAATAACTGAAACATCTGGACTGATTTATAGTATAATCTAACTAATCAAAAACAAGCCCAGGCAATTTGCAGAAATTGGAGGGGAAAAAAAAAAGAAGGAAAAGAACCAAACACCCCTCTCCTACCCACTCTCAACAGTCTCTATATATGTATACATATATATACATCTTGTTTGGGGAAAACTGAATGTGAATTTTGCTGGTGGAAAGAATACAGAATAAAACTTACACGTATAATTGCCAAAAATGTCCTTTTCCCATAGTTATTTAATATTATCAAGTAAAAGAGTAATCTACTTTCATCCCCGCTTCTAGTCCTTTAAAAACTGAATCATATCTACCCACTTGCTTTCCTGGAGAAAATTATCTTTGCCATTACTATTCTGACAGGGTCATTTTGTAGATTCTATGTTTGACTTGTAAAAATAGTGCAAGTAATGACAGTGTAGGATTCAACTGAGTCCATCAACTAAAACTTAATTTTTCTGGAAATGTTAATGACATCCACACTGGTATTCAAATCATGTGCTATAATTAGTCCTATTTCAATGTTGGCCAGAGAAGCAATACAAAATACATTCCAAGTGATGTAATACATAGAGGAAAGCATTGGCTGATTCTCAAAGAAGCAGACACAGTGATTACTTTCGTTAGTGATTAAGCAAACCCCAAGGACATTTCCAAGCTAAAATAATATTGGATATTTAGTGTAAGAACTATGCCCCAACAATGCCAAGTAATAGTCTATCAAAATTTCAGTCAACTACTTAAGTCTGTCTGGAGAAAAATCTAAAAGAGAAGCATGAAAAGCGCTCAAAGCTAAACTCCTTATGCAGATAAATTTTCCATTCACTTCACTGAGTTATCTGCCTCAGAAGAAAACAAAAGTGCTACAGGAGAGACAGAATAATGTCAGTGAAAGTAGCTCTGATTTTTTTAAACAAAATCACGAACCATTTTAGCATTTCCTAAAAAGATGAAAATTAATGATCTTTTTCAGCAATGCATGGGAAATACTGACAGGTATGTGGAATACAAACTGTTGGAGGATGGTATTTTTCAGTAACATTTGAAACTTGCTCCCTGCTCTGATTTCTATGCAGTAATGTGATACACAAAAATAGCAGCAAGGGGTAATTTTGAAATCATAATGATTTCATTTGCTCATTAATCTTTTTTATTAATGTGAAGTTATTAATCATACTGAAACGTACAGCACTTGGAGATTAGGCAACTGGTCACAAGCTGATCTGGGGAGAGAGGTGATCTGTGCTCCTGTGAGTGTCCTATTGAGAGAATTTATAAATAAATAAATAAATGATTGCAAAACAAACACTTATTTTTGGGACATTCTTTAGAATAAATGCCAAAAAATATAAACCAAAGGAAAATACTCCTGTACTACTTACAAACTCTCCAGACTTGTAGTCCCAGTCAGATCAGGAAACTCTGTTATCTGTGAGGCACCATTTAAAGTCCTAGAATTTAAAACATCGTTTCAATACAATTGCAATGAGGGATTTGAGGCACACCTCTAACATTGCAACTAAAGACAATTTAAAGAAATGAAGCACATACAGAGTTCTGAGTTCTGGTAAGTTTTGAAAAGCAGATTTTCCAACAAGCTGGATGGGGTTATCATAAAAGTGTCTGCAAAAAGAGAGCAAAAAAGGCATTTTATACACAATGTTATACACAATGTTATACAAATAACACATACACAAAATATTACGTGGAATATTTTAAAAGATTCAAAACACATTACATGATTATAATATATACAAATGAGTAATCTCTGTATGCTCACAGACATTTTGTGTACCTGTGGGCCTTTTCTCACCTGCTAGCCTATGTGCATCAAGTACATAGGCTAATTTAATACTGAAATATCCATTTTCCCTGGATTTAAAACCAGAAGCCTTCCATTTCCTCTTTCTCCCAGGAAGATTAAAATTCAAAGATGAAGAACTTTATTATGACATAAGGCAAAGTTGATGGATGAAGAAATCAGAACTTCACATTCTTGGAGGATGTTGTCCATCCATAGCAGTTGAGTACCACTGTACTTGTGAAGGAGTCCTGCTTTTGCTCATAAAAAAAATGCTACTCAAAACTTGTGGCTATTTCTCTTACATTTATTTTACAATTTCGTACGTTGAGGATTTCCAGTTAAATGTATTCTCATGTAAAATAATGAGAATTGAGACTGGAATCTATCATGAGTGATTTTTCTATCTTCTACATTGCCAGCAATACTAAGAGACCTATAAAGAGTAGTTCAACTGAAAGGTCAATGATGAAGTAGTGGTACTCACTCCCTTTAAACAGGGCATGCAAATTGCCACACTTTTCATAAGGCTAGAAAGATATAAGCTTGTTCACTTGCATTACTGTGTGCTACACAGTGCATTCACAAGAAGATATATCAGACAAATAACAACAAACATGGTACTTAATACCATATTCTCTTACACAAAGTGTCACTGAATAAACTGTTATCACTTACATTGTAATAAGTGATGGATTACCTACAAATGCACGCTCAGGTATCGACTTGATGTTGTTGCTATGAAATCCTCTACGAAACAAAAAAATGGTTTACACAGTAAAGAAAAGGAATGAGAAGGCACAGTTTGTATTCACCATACACAACAATTTCTTTGATTGTAGTAAGGAAAATGTCTGTGTGTAAAGATATGTTTTTGCTTTCAGGGGTAAGACAACTGGTAAATGCAAGAGCAAAAGAAAAAGTGAAGAAATGTCTGGAATTCAGCACTCTTCTACACGAGAAATGCTATGCAGGTGAAGTAAACAGCAAAGTAGCATTTTAAAATTCAGATGCTCACAACAGGAAACTGTTTCATAGCTGTATGTCATGTAGGTCATGTATATGTAATGTAAATATAGACACTGAATAGTACATATGTACATGTATATATGTATCCTCCCCGTATTTGTTAATTTGCATTCCATTTACTGTGATAATAATGAGTTACACAAATTTATAAGGTAAATGATTTTATACATTATATTGCTGAGTCTCCCACAACCACATTGTTGTTGACATATTTTACATGTAGAAATGAACAAGCTATCCAATGTGCCTGCTGGATAGGGGGCCAAAACTCCAAAACTTGGTCTCATCATTAATTACTAGATTTTATTCATATGAGTACTTCTCCATTGTAAAATACAAAAGAAACAACTAAGGTTTCAAAAGAACAATGATGATTTGTGTGGGAAACTCCCATTAGTTCAGTCGGGTATGAAAAGGGCTTCCCAGATTAAATTTATACATTTAGAAAGCCTCAAATTGTTCACTGATGCAAGCACACTTGGTCATTACTTCAAGAGGTTCCACATTACTGGTTTCACTTGTTTAGTCACCGTGCTACTGCTGATGAGACAGAACAAGGCTCTAAATCCCTTGTTCTTCTGCACGCCATAAAAACTGCATCCATGCAGACACAGATTCCAAGCAATATGAGGATCCCATTTCATCTAGAACCAGTGAACAGACTGGTTTTGTGGATTCATTGAATGGGATTCCTTGTACAGAGAAAGGCAAAAGAAATGGCACGACTGCTTCCCAGGGCAGTGTCTGGCCCCTCATCACCACTGACACGGTCAGAGTGTGGGAGCAGCCCCATCAGCAGCCAAAAGGAAATTGCAGTGCATTTCTGTAAAACAGAGTCTACGGCACTTCTGAGGTGACTGGGAGAGAGTGATCATGGCTGTAGCTCAAACCCTGTGTGCTGCACCTCAGCAATATACCTCATCTGAAACAAAGGTAAATTACTGCTTGTCAGTTCACATACTGAGCAAAAGAGCTTAAATCTATCTGCACTCCTGGATAAGGACACTATAGTAAGGCCACACTGGGAAAAATGTTTCACAGGCATCTTCAAAACCTAACTGCTATACCCACTCTGGAGAGAGAACTGCCCCTACAGCTGAGATCACCAAGGGCAGAGCATCTGGGACTGGTTTAGCTCTGCCTTGATGACTTGCTGTTTCCAAGACAAGAAAAAAAAAAGCCATATTCAGCGTTCTCAGTCCAAGCACAAATTCTGAGACAAAGAAGAGGCCTGACCCAGAAACACCTTAGTAATGTAGCCCTGCAATAAACTGAATCTTTGTGGCCCTGGGTTCCTCTTGGTGAGAACAGAAGGAAGCCCGTGGGAGTCACCTCATGTTTTTAAGATCAGCTTCTAGAGCCCAAGCAAAACACTGATGTACACGGTCAGATTCTGTGCTGGACTTGGGAATTCAGGTTACAATTTCACACTCCAAAGATTTCCTGTGCAGAGAAGCTCAGCTGCCACAAGCAGTTTGATACCTAGATGTGAGATCCTATGGGGTCGAGAAATCTCAAACACATCAGGCAATTTGCTGGACTGGACAAGGTGCATTTACTGCAAACCTAGGTTATCCATGTTTGGCTACTGACTCCAGAGGTCAGCAGAAAGGCAGTTCTTTGAGGCCACTGGATTTCACACCAATTCTTTTAGGCCTCAGGAGACAGAACAGCAGCTGAGAGTAGCTGGACTGAGAAACTCACAGCCTCACAGAGCCATTCTCTTGGGCAGCACAGGAGGCACTGAGCTGGAGTCAACACTGCTTGGGGGTTCCCTGCTTCCAAAAAAATCCCAGCCACATAAAGTGGCGTTATTACGTGTGGTGCAGTAATACTACAACTGATACCACAACTGTGTCAACTGTGTCCAGCTGATATATGATTACCTAGTTTTTGTAAGATCTATGCTGATGGTACATGTAGAGTGGCAATTAGTTCAAACTGAAAGAACTCTGGACATACGCAGTGGTACACATCATGTTTGAAATGTGTGAATATTTCATTCATTCTTTTATAACTCAGCTGTTTCTTACAATAAACTTGGCTAGCTTCATTTCAGTGCTGACATTATTTTAGAGAAACTATGTCTGTGTGTCCACAAGTGTTTTGTTTACAACGTTACAAAGGACTATTTAAGTTGAAAAGAGAATGCTTTAATTTAATGGGGGAGGAGGGATGGAAGAAAACATTTAAACTTGATTAGCCAGTAAGAGGGCCATGTTTTTTCCTTAGTCTAGCAGATTGTGATATTTTGGATTGCTTGGAAAGAACAATTGTTGTGTTTGGGACTCAAAATAAATTAGCTGTGTTCCAAGGATGAAGTTCTTGAAGAAAATTCACTGCACAATGCAGTATAAAAGTTGTCAGAGCTTGAATGCTCTAAACTGCATGTTGAAAATTATCTTTTATGCATGTTGGCACATTTATTAGCTTTTCCTAGGATATCAGTTTTTAGGGATTACTGACAAAATCACCAGCATTAAGAAAATAATCAGTCATACACTAGACAAAACATCCTACATCCTAATATAATTGCTCTACTTACAGTTCTTTTAGGTTTGTTAGTGTCCTGATAGCAGTGGGGAACTCGTCCAGACTGTTGTAATTTAAATCTCTGTGTGAAAATAGATTGTGTTATTTAGGTTTTGTGTTACGTCAGGAATAACAGAATTGTTGGCATTTGTAATGAAATACCATTTTTCATGCATTGAATGAGAAACGTATAGCCCAAATCCAGGAAATCTTTAAAGTGCACGGATGTTCTGTAAAAAATCTGTTTAGGGCACATTCTCATTCCTATTTTTTTTATCAAGTGGGAAAACATACAATAAGCCCAACTTCATCATTAACCATATTGTTCAATTTAAGCTTTGGCAGTACTCACATGGAGAATGTCTCTAACCATACAAATTGTAAAAACAGTAGTTTAGCTGGGGTAGTGACCTTTGCTTTAAGAACTGCTCATGCTGCAGTGGCAATTAGACTTCATTATGGTAAAGTGAAAGAACTATACACATACTTCTGCCTTGAACAAGACATGTGCATCCTTTAGTATTCATGAGACACCTGAAACTAAAATTGAGATGCGCCTGTGTGGTGCTCCCTGAGCACTGCTCTGTGAAGAATATAGTCTGAAAAATTTGAGAAATAGCCTTATGGAATGGGCAAAACAGAAATCACAGTTTACAATAGATGGAAATTGAAACAGTATCAGGCTGAAGTAATTCAGGCAGGAAACTGCTGTCTGAACTCAAGAAGGCTTTCCTTCCTGCTTGTAAATCTCTCTCTCCCGCTTATTGACAGAAAGAGATTACAGGCAAGCACAGTTTTGCTTTGCCCTCCAGTGATATGTGATTTCCAGACCTATGCATCAATGAAAAGAAATGATCTTAAAGCTGACCTCCGTCGTTTACACTGAGACCTCTTTAGATTGTCTTGAAACTACCTTGAAACTGGTCTATATAGTACGCAAGCAGCGAGCTTGAGGCAAGTGCTACACTCTCCTACTGCAGTGAAGAGACTGCACCTATATCCATTCCCAGGTTCATGACTGTCCTCTGAGTTTTCATCTCTTTCATACCAGGTGGCTGGGACTGGGTTTGCAATTACTTATTCCATTGTTCTTTTTTTTCCCCTACTTTTGACCAAGTGCCATGTGAATCTCACTTAAAAAAACACAACAAACTATTACATTTTCCCTCTCTCTTTCCTGTCCCCCTTTCCGGTGCTACATTAAGGGACTTCCTTTCAACTCACAGTAGACTATAAGTCAAAATTGTAAAACTGCACTTCAGTTTGAAGGGATCAGTGCAACTGAAACTAGGGAATGAAAAGAAAAAGAAAAGAGGTCAAAATTTCTGGGTTTCTGATGTTACTGAAACATGAAAGTGAGCAGTACGTACTTCTGTGGATGAGAAAGAAAATAGTTACCTTTAGACTAGCATTATTCAGATTTGATATTTTGTCTATTTGCTCCTCAAATCTTCATCCTCTGGCCTGCTTAGGTGAAATCTCTAAAATCTCTGAGAAGGATTTAGCTGATTGTGGCAGGTGGTAAGGAGAAGATATGCAAGCTTTTACTGTTCCTGCAGCATTTTGGATTTCTGTTACCTACTCTAGCAGATAGATATGAACAGAACTTTGACAGAAACTTGAGGCAGTTTGAACCCTTATCAGTGCTATTCTTTAGCAAAGTTCTTTAAAGGCATGATCTTGGACACAACTGAGATATCTCTTTCCTTGTAAAACATACATGATTTGCGTATTTGGCACTTTCTCTTTTTCCAGGGATAAAAAAATAAAATTATGTGATTTCATAACCCTCTTCTATGGCATGACAGTTTCTTGGTGGTAAATCTTTTCACTGTGACAGTTTCCCAATCTAGCCATTAAATTTATTGTTTAAACAAGACAAATAAATAGTACTAAACTAGGCAAACACAACTGTTTATGAATAGCCACTTCTTTTTCAATGCCCAATACAGTTCTCAAATGTCCTTTAAACAATTTATCAACTGATGATGCTTATTAAAAAGGCAAGCTAATTTTATTGTCAAAAATAGTATCTGCCACATAGAGTCATTGTAAACCATCACTTAGATCCTGTAGCGATTAGGCAAGCCAAAAAACACACTTAGTTCTTAGGCTATTTTTATTCTTTCAGAATATTAATGAAAACACTGAGGAAAAGAAAAAAAAAAAAAAAGGAAACAAATAAGAGGTCAACTCACAAAGTCTCTAGGCTGTGGAGCCCATCAAAGCATTTCTTTCCCAGGGAGTAGATTCTATTGTTATGGAGATGTCTGCAGGGGAACATTAAGCACACAGTCAGGAAAGCACATTGCCCACAGTGGACTCAAGCAAAACATTTTGATGCTTAAAACAAAATAAACTTATTTTCAGGCATGCACCAATTAAATGCAAGTTATGCTTTTGCAAGAGCGTGTAGAGGAGGCACTTTCACTGCCCTCCCTGCTTTCTCCTGACATCACTCCACCCATGCGGCATTCAATTTGGTTCCACAGAAGGGATTTGTTTTACAACCATCTACATGGCTTAAAAAGGGCATAACCTGGAATTTTAGAGTGGGTTTTGCACATTAAATGTTGTGAAATTGTATACGTATTCCCACAGATTATTAATTAACATGTTGCCTTTAGAACTGTGGGTGGTGTTCGTTTGGAAAACGTATACTCAGAGGCTGTTAGAGGGGATGGCACAGAATAGCAGGTGAGCAGAAGGATAATAAGGCAGAAACAGCCATTAGCCTTGCAGAATGAAAGAAGACACAAAGCCATAGGATCATGGAGTCATAGCTTCACTGAGATGAATGAATTAATCAATTTTTAGAGCTTTAATTTGCTCTTCTTTGAAACTGTAAACATCCGTAGGTCAACACTTACTTCTCAAATGTTCAGCCCCTGAGAATAACTGCTGCATGTTTCATTCCAGACAAACCCTCCCATGTGAAGGATCAGAATGCTGCCTACTTCTAAGATTTTGATACTGACATGGAAAAAATCAATCTGTGTTAAGCTCATTAATGGGAGTGTGTACAACTTAGTGCTATTTAAGCTGGCTTTTGAAGAGGATGAATTTTTCGCAGCAAACTTCTACTTTATTCTTCACATTTCACTCTCATAGTGGAGGAAAACTATGGGAGTAACACTTCAAAAGAAAAGATGGATTGTGATTGAGGAGCTGCTGGTTACACACCCTTTCATGCTTCATTCTGCTCTGAAAGTAATTTAAAAGATCACAGAACCTAGCGACATTGAGTATCTCTGCCCACAAAAAGCAGGGTTCCCGATGGCAAAATACAAATGTTTTGTAGGTTTCCCCCTTCCTAGGAAAAAAAAATTAACCGTTTTTTAAAATGACTACACTGAGCTGTAACGTTTGAGTTAGCATAAAGAACGTCTACAAATTCCACTTCAGTTTGGATTGCTAGTGATGGAGCTTCAAACCTGTGCCAGACAAACATGCATATTCACACACAGCTGGAAATTTGCCAGACTGAGCAGAGTAGCAAACAAAAGAAAACATAACTGCACACGAATATTTTGATGAGCCAAAAATCAGAGAGTCATAGAATCACAGAAACCTTAGAATTGGAAGGGACCTTTAAAGGCCATCATCTAGTCCAACTCCCCATCAATGAATAGGAAACCACAGCTGGATCAGGTTGCATAGAGCCTGATCCAGCCTCTCCTTGAAAGTCTCCAGTGATGGGGCATCAACCACCCCTCTGGATAACCTGTTGCAGTGCCTCACCACTCTCACTGTAAGAGATTTTTTCCTTTTGTCTAACCTAAATCTACCCTATTTGAGCTTGAAACCATTTCCCCTTTTCTCTCACTGCAGGCCCTGCTAAAAAGTCTGTGCCCTCCTTTCCTGTAGCTCCCCTTTAAATACTGAAAGGCCACTATCAGGTCACCTCACAGCCTTCTCTTCTCCAGGCTGAAGAGCCCAAGATTAGTATCAGATGTTGCAGATAATGAGGAATAATTTAATTATCAGTCAGTATGAAACCCAGGAGACCAGAAGTAAGCAGGTCAGATCTAAAATATGGGAACCTAAGTGAGAGAAGCAATCAAGGAATGAAGGGAATAAAAATTTTCTCCTGGCTTTCTTATATGTCCTCCTATCTCCGCATTTCTGGTAGGGATCTAGAGAATGACATTCAAGACATTCTCTACCTTCTCAGCAGTACTGAAATGTCTAGGAGCTTGGTTAAATAACAAGCCAATCCACTCCTCTATCCACTTTATATGGAATGGGACTGATACTCAATGTAAACATAGGGCAAGGATTGTGTATTACAAGGCAGATATTGCACACCTGTAATTGGTGCTCTACACATTTAAATGAATATATTAAGCATTAGGCAGAGACATTGAATACAGTATTCAATAAAGAACCCTGAAATGTGCCAGGTTCAATGATTGCAGTGGGGTTAGAATATGCCAAAATAGGCTAAGTCTCTTACAGACTATAGTTTCAGACATGTTGTAATTCTTGACTATATTATTTTCTCCTTAATAATACTGACATTTTCCAAAGTATTCTGAAATAACTTCTCCTCAGTTTCCTCCTTAGTTTCTCCAGCCTTCTCCAGTCTAGCATTTATTCCACTTGGTGCATTCCCAGAAGATAAAAAAACTGGGTTCCAGAGTATTCCTTCCAGATTTTGGAGATGGTTTTGCATCTGATTCATTTAGCTGTACTGGTATGCAAATATATTAAAATATAAAGCTACATATACTATCTGTGAAGTAGAACTATACATAATTTCTACCGGGCAGCATTCTTTCCAAGTCACCCAGAAAGCTTTCAGTTCATTTCTTTTTTCTAATCTTTCTCCATTCAGTACTGCCTTAGAAAGCATACAATTCATCTATTCCTGTTAATTTTGCTGACCAGATATGGTGATTTTTTAAAAATTCCCTTATACAGTTTTTTACTGGAGACAAAACTTTTAAGTTAGATCAATCAAGTACTTTAGCAAATGTGACTTTAAGATGATGTGGAAGTTCTGTTTCTCTAAGATAATTAAAAAACCATTGACAGTACTTACACAAACAAAAAATTATTTTGTATTTAAAAAATAACATTTTCCATAGCAGAAAGGACTGCACACATAAAGAGTATCATCATTAGGCCTAGTGCAAAAGTAGAAGGGAACTACAGCTTTATAATCAAAGATAATGCAAGTTTAATATTAACACTGAATGAAAAAAAAATAGAGGCTTAGCTAACCCAGGTATACAGCCATTTAGGTTGTCTCAAGAAACACCTAAATTAAGCATTGTATCTTCAAGTAATTAATCACAAGGAGGTCAAAGCCCTTCAAAGAAGCAGAGATTCTGGCTAAAAAGCAATTGATAAAACTTACAGAACTACCAAACTGGAGAGGTTTCCAAAAGCATAGTCCGGTATGTAATGAATTTTATTCAGTGCCAGTGTCATTGCCTGAAGTGCTGGTAAGCTTCTAAAAGCTTGGATGGGTATTTCTGTCAAGGAATTATCGTCTAGCCACAGGTGTCTAAGGGAGACCAAGCCATTGAAGCAGTTGGGGGGCACATAGTTGATGTGGTTGGCATCCAGGCGTCTAGGAGAAAAAGAAATAAAGAAAATTGATTCTGAGAAAAGAACAGTGGACTTTCACAAGAAACTATCATCAAGAACACAACAAGGATAGGCAGCATTTGTCACATCAAATTTTCATTTCCCACAGATTCTGTATTTCTATCTTGTTTGCAACATTATCTATGGAACCTCACATGGTGTCCACAAATCTCCTAGGCAGCTGGCTCACTGCTCACAGCTTTCCATTGGGGTCATTGGTTCACTGAGAGCATAGACTAACCACTTTTGAACAGAGCCTTTCTATGGACCAGTCACAAAGTTGTTTACTTTACCAATTATTTGAAAATATGGAATAAAAAACTATAAGAAACTCAGCATGACGGTCTCTTTCAGAATCTATAAATCACTGAGTTGTAGTGCTGAAAGCTGTTTTGGGTTTCCAGATGCTCTCTGTCACTTTTAAAAGCTAAAAATAAAAATTATTTCTGGGTTTCTGCTCATGTTTTACTACTTCTTAAAAGTTAGCTCAATTATTCTAATGAGCAACAAACGTAACACAGTAGAGCAAAATGGTTTCAAACAGAGATCGGCGTTGCTAATGCAGTTGATTCCTTTGAAGTTACTTGATGTACTTCAGCTGCTGCAGAGCCAACAGAGGGAGCTCAACTACGTGTTGCACCTTTCCTGAGCTGCAGGTCATATCTTGCTTTCACGCTTCTGCAAGTAGGGATTAAATTTACTTAACTTTTTGCAGATAAGGCACTAGAAATACTATGTCACAGAAGCCAATCTCTAAAACTTTTTTTGAAGATGTTCAGAAGAGTACAGAGATGAAATAAAAACAAATTTAAATAGAAGTTTTGAAAACACTATAAAAAAAAAACAAAAACAAAAACAAAACCCCACACACCAAGGTACAAATAAGTAATTCTGTACAACCTAAATTTGTTCTGTTTGAGAGAAGTGCTATAGTCTCTGTGATGGGCATGATAATCTCTTTAGTTAAAGCTGCTTCCTCATTTACAGTCATGTAAAATGTCAGGTCCATTCTATCTCCTGCTCTGTGCTCCTTCTACCTTCTGCATGAGAACAAATAATGAATGCGAAGCCTTCGTGCCAGGCTGGCAAATAACTGAGACAAGGTCAGTTGGAACAAATTTATAAAGTTCAGTGTCAAAGCCCCTGTACAATTAAATTTTCAATATAATAACTGACATGGCAGGCAGCAGAGACAGAGCTTTCAAAATAATTCAAGGGTCGGTCAACAAATGGGTGAGGCTGGAAGTGTTTAGAAACAGTCATGCTGTACCTCCCCCATTCCCCAGGCAACAACCGTGCCATGCCTGTGTTTTCAAATAAGGTATAATTTGAATGAGTAGATGAGGTTTCTTTGTGTTTGGTTAGACGTAAATTTCTTCCCTGTGTGATGCTGGTATGTAAACTAAGAACTTACAGTTGCATTAGTTTGACAGTTACACTGATTAAAGAATGGAGGCTTTATTCAGCCTAAATGTGTCACTGTGCGACAGTCAGCTTCTTGCTCAGTGCCAAGGCTGACTGTGCAGCTCCGACCTCCCAGAGGAGGACAGACTCCAGAGGAGTTACTCACAGAAGTCCTGCTCGCGTGGCAAAGCCAGAAGTCAGCTGTTTGTGTGATCCTGTGGCTGCAGAGGCAGTACTTCTGCTGTCCTCAGAGAGGTCAGGGTTTCTACCTTCCCAACATTCAGCAGCAAATCAAGGAACCGATTTTATTACTGAAGTTTCCAAATATAAACCCACTACTACTATGTAAGCAAAACAGACAACATAGGACTGCTGTAATGTAAATGAGATTCTAAATAGCTTATTCCTAAAATAAACTTTGTAAGAAAATTTGAAACTACAATGATATGTATTGCATGTCCTATTGCTGGATTATACACTTTACCAGTGCTCATAAGCACTGCCTCAAGTGCTCTTTTGTTATCTAATCTTTTTAGAATTTCCAAGTACCATTTTTCCCTCTTGCAGATAATAAAACATTTCAGTAGTGATTACGTTTCCTGTCATACTGTAGGTAATGCACACTGATGTATTAAGCATTGATCAAAATCATTGCTTTCAGCCAATTGTTTCACATACATTGATCAAAGTTTTGGCACTTTCAAAACTAAACCCATTAACTCACAAACATGACCCTATTTATAATTGAAAATATATAGATAACGTGGTGAGTTTGAAAGCTGCTATTATATTCCAGAGAGAGCCAATTTAGGGAAACAGAAAAGCTTGATCTCTTCTGATAGGCGACATGTAAATAAAGCAGACAGTATGAAATTCACCATGAGCTCACTTAAAATGTCCAAACCTTTCAAAGAAAATGCTTGAGCTATGTGGACTGTATCCCACTGGTGTTTCCTGTGGCATGCTGTGAATGCTAGGACCATATGCGTTATAAATGATGAAAAGATATTATTCATATAGAACTGAAAGCATGACTAATTCGCTGTTACTCTGAAAAGGGTGAAGGTAGGTTTTTTAAAAAAAGTTTTGATTCATATTTTTGGATCAATTCAATATGGACACCTAGCTTTATGCCACTGGTACGTCTCCACATGAATACGTATATTTTTCCTTTCTCTAAGTCTTATCCCAAGAGTAAGCACAGGTACAACCTAGTGAAATACCTAGTGCTCAGGAAGATCCTTAAAGTCTTGTTGGTGAGTGTTTCTCCTTCATTCAAGTTTAAGTCAAATGCTAGGTATGGGAACAGGAAGGAAACTTCTCACAGGTCATTTTTCCCTCTGAGATAAACATCTATCACATGGCTTGCCTCTTTTTGCAAGGGATAAGGGACTGAACATAATGAAGGGACTGGACAAGAGGAAAGTTACAACTGTAGATAAAGAAGTCAAGAATACAATGCCGACAAAACCGAATGTTAAGGTCCTTCATGCAGAAGGCAGGTTAGGCAAGGAACTGAGAGCACATGAGGATTGATGACAGGCACACAGACGGCAGAAAGGCATACTCCTCCCTCTCCTACCACTTTCTTCCTCCCCATGTTCTACAGGACACAGGCATTGCTGAAAGCATGGAGCAATTATGAACAAGGACTGGGGAGAGGGCATGTCTGGAGTGGGTATTGCAGGAAGGAGGGTGTCGGACTGTGGTGACGTGGACCCTCTCAAGGGTTTGTTCATAGGAGTTAGGCTAAAGCCACATGTAAGGAATGGCAAGTGACATCAGTACTGGCTTTCAAAAGTGAATGTAAGGAAAATAAAGTTGGCTACTGTAAGCATGGTTTCTCCAACATGTCCCTTTAAGCAGGATACCCCCTTCAATCCTCAGGGGAAAATGTTAGTAGTATTGTGAAAGCTTAATTACAACATGCCAGCACAGCAGTTCCCACACATTTCAGCCCTTGTATGAGCTTGTACAATACTGATACAAGAAACCCTGCGCAGCAACAGCAAGATTGAAAGAGGAAAAAAAAAGTCACAAGTCATAGTTTAGGAACATTTGTTTCTGCCCTGCTGTTTAGTTAAACTCCATCTGCACGTAAAACATGAGAAGATCTCAACACCTCTGAGAGTTCTGATCCTTAGCATTTCTCTTTATATCCAAATACATTGTTCAGGTGTATCCTGGATGGTGTGCCAGGACACTAGCATGTTGTATAACGCACAAATATCCAGTTCCACAGCTATTTTCATACTGAAACTAGCCTCAAAGCCCCAAAAGCGGGAAAAAGTGAGGCCAGCAGGAATTGTTGGGTCATGCTAGGAACCTGGCTGCAGAACACAGGTCCAAGACCAGACATCTTGTGTGTCTGGGAATGTTGCCAGTAACCTCCGCTGGCCTCCCAAAGCAGGTGGCTGCATGCAGGGTGCTGACAGGATGGCCTAGGCCTGTTCGAGCTGCCAAGTGGCCCCAGGTAATCACTCAGCCAAACCCCATCTGGCAGCACTCAGAAGTGTGCCAAGGACCCTTCTCACAAGGCAGCAGGGCAGATGGTCATAACCAGTGCTTTGGAGCACTCCTTTGCCCTGTTTGCCCTACTAGACTGACTGTGGTAATACTGTTTCATCAGACGATGCTCACGTGGACCTTCTTGCGTATCTGATTTGAACCTCACATGGTTGATCATTTCAGCACTCGGCCCTCTTGTCCTCCTCCCACATGCAGCGTATGTCCTGGTGGGATTCAGCCACACAGAAAGATTTCTCATTAGCAGTTCTGAGGTTGAGAAATGTATGTCTTTACAGGTATGATTAAAAAAAAAACAAAAAAGCAATGCTCATTTATGAGATTGCTCAGCAGACAGAAAGGAGTCAGACACTGAGTAGCTTCTACTGGATGCAAGAAAACATCACTCAGCGGCCTGGAACTGCTGACCCAGTTTGGATAATTGTACCCCACTTTGAAAGCAATCTGACCCTACAGCTGGTTGTGTAGGGACTGGACTCAAATATTTAGTGGTAGTACAAACAGATTGGGGATTCTTGCATGTCTGTCCTCCTCCTAGCTGTTTATCAAGCTGGAAAAATGTGTGACTGAGAAGGGTGCTCTGACACTGTCTTGGTAATCCACGATTGAGTCCCTTTTCTGCTATCTAGTGTGCCCTACGGCTCTAGAAGCTCACATAGATAAAACATGAAATAAAATGAGACTGTAGCCATGAGTTTTGAGACATTTTTGTGTATGTGTACAGTTGTACACATGAGAACACACAACCTTGATTCAAACTGTGGGAAATTCCTCCTTAGGGAGCTTGAGGGTAACTGTTGAGGTACTGGGTTTCCTAAGAAGGATAAAGCCTTCTGTGGGCTTCATTATCGTGGGGTGTGACATGAAAAACCACAACTGAAGCTCCTGTCTTTTCATGAAAACAATTCTCCTGGGAGAATGTGATTTCATCAAAGTTGGTTGGTCTTTTAACTAAAAATCAGGATTATTAACATGAAAAAAACCCTGTTTATAATGCTAACACTTTCGAAAAAAGGCATTTTAGTTTTAAGACTGAACTGGAGGCATCTCAGAACTCTGTGTTATCAAAGTCTTCAACTCCTTTTTCAGATTAAGAATTTCTTTTAAAAAGCCAAGTATTTAGAGAAGCAGAGAGAAGGAGATGAAAAATCCATTTTCTGGCCTGTTCCAGACAAGCAAACAATTAAGAACAGCCGAGATTATTTCTAGCTCAACTTCCATGTAAAAATGCATCATCATAAAGTGCACATAGCAACATATCTTAAAAATAAAACTGAAGTGATATATAAATTCTGTCAGAAAGTTAAACTTACTTATACTATTTTTTTTTATATTTGTAAAGACAAATCCATATGCTACACTAAACTCCAACTTTTCAGTTTTTCAGTGGAGAAAAAATGGTTTATTTTTTCCTCTACAATTGTTCCCAGTGCTTTGGAAGAGGTACTGTCTTGTATTCTGCTCTGCTTTCTACTACTAAAGTAGAAAACTAAACTAACTAAAGTTTTCTACTACTAAAACTTCTAAGTTTTACAGGAATTAAAGCAAGTGGCATGTCTTTTTGTAAATAATGCTTGTTTTTAAATATCCTTGATGACTAGTTCAGCATGGATAGTGACATAATCTATTCTTGATTATCATTTCTCTCTAAAAATGAAATAGGAAAAGCTTCTTACTAACAAACAATGATTTCTAAACAAGAAAATAAACTTAATTAGTCTGTGGCACTCACTGCAAGGAGCTGCATTACAATAGTCCCAATAAAAGAGTAGCAGAAGCTTCGCTTCTCCATCAGCAATGCCAATTAGACTTCCCTTCTTTAGTTACTAAAATTTACGAATGAAAATCTCCAATTTATCAGTTGCTAATAGCATAAAATTTGCTTTAACATGCTCAGGGAAGAGATCTTTAAAAATAATTTGTGCATCACTGCCTGCTTTATCAATCTCTTCTTCAAAAAAATACTGAAATGCCAATTCTGGTACACAAGTAATCTCACTAGAATTAAAAATATCTATTTAAATAAATACTTAAATTCAGTGGAAACAGTTGGTCAGAAAGCAAGTTGATGATTAATAGGTATATTTCAAAAATAAATCAGTAAACGTACATAAAAGGCTTTTGGATTAAACAGATATATTCAAAATCATTAAAAGCCTTCTTGATTTAAAAGCAGAGTGGAGATATTTGAGCTTTGGGAAACATAAAATCCAGAGACCATCTGCTTACAGTCAGTTCTACAGAAAAGTGAATAATAAAGGAGACAGCATTCAAGTGACACTTCAAACCCCGCTGCCAAGATCTAAGTTGTGACACCAGTCATTGTGTGTTGGCTGTTTTCAGTCATGGAATTTGAGAACTTACTTTCCTCTTCTTGGCTTAACAGAAGCAAACATCATTTGAATTGTTAGGGCTAGTAAACCAGATTAATCTGTATTCATGACAAATTTCAAAAGGAAATTATAGCCCACATAAAATGCTGAACATGGAGATAAACACAGCTGTGGCCAGCATAATAAAATGGGAGGCATTACTTTCAGAGCAGCCCTTGCATACATCTAATGTGTGTACACACAAAATTACATACATATTTATATAAAAATGGTTTTAACGTAATCCTTTTCACATTCATTAAGGTATCAAGGTGGTTAGTATGGATTGTCTCTTTACATGACCGCCCTTCTTCGGTGAAAATACAAAAGGCAGTTCTAAGCCCTGTCATCAGTTTTCAGTTTTTTGCAGCTATGCTAACCTAAAGAAAAGGGTTAATGAAGCTTTCGAAAACCATGCCACCTGTTTAGTTAAACATAATAAACACAAGAAGTTGTTATCTTATAGAACTTGCCTTTGTGTAGGCTTTTAACCTCTTAATTACACCCTTGAAAAGACTGCTGCTATTTCAAAGGTTTCAAGAAATACTTCCTATTGTAAATCAGAAGCCAATGCAAGAACCACCTTGTGAGCAGAAAATTCCTAGACTGTAAGAAACAAGAAATTGAATCTATGCACACCTTTATCTGACAAGCACAACCCAGTTTAAGCAAACAAAAGAATAATAGTTTTCTTTCCCTCAAAGAGGTCTCTTTTGCCAGTGATCATCTTTCAGCTGATAGTAGCTTTTCTGTACAAACCCATATCGTTCCATCTTAGGACTGCTAAACAGCTGTCTAAAAGTTTCTGCTGATCACCCCTATTCTCTGTCTGCCTCAATTTTGTCACGAAATATCAGCTCTTCACACAGACTACACACTGCAACTACGTTTGGTTCACTTCTTCAGCTTCTTCACCTATGGAAAAGAATATCTGCAGAAAAGAATGAGCGAGACTGTCATTTTGTTTGGAAACTGTACTGGAAATTCAACAGTCTCTTTCAGAGCAACAAAGGAACCCTTGTTTGCTTGGCTTATCGTGTTTTGGTCCAGAATGTGTATAGAATGATGTGATCTCAGCAAGATTTTTTTTTTGTTTGTTTAGCAGAAAGAAAATCTAATATAGTCAGTAGACCAGCATTTTCTCATGACTTTTTAAAAAGATCAAAGGAAAGAACTGCAACCTCAAAAGTATACGGCTAAGATATTTCAGTCTGTCTGGTCAATAAAGAAAAAAAGGTAGAGACCAAATAACAATTTATAAGATAATTAATTCTTAAGGCTCTTTCACCTTTACAAAGCTTAACAAATGCTTTGTATATTAAGGAGGTAAGTATTGTTCGAGACAGACATAAGAACCTGGGAGCTAAAGTAGTATAATGTGTGCCTGTGTATGGGTAAGTTATACACCGACAACTAGTTTGCTAGAAATTGATTCATTATTTGGATTTCATCTGAATTAAATGTGTGCAAAAGATGCAAACTCTCTGGTAGAACTTCTTTACACACACAAAAATAAGAGAACATGTTTAGCACAGTATGCTTCCCAATCAGTAGATCTGAGCTAATGTTTGTCTATGTCCAAAGAACATGCCTATTTTCAATCGTCTAAAGATTTCATGCTGCTCATTCAAAGTTACTTTAGAAAATTTAGCCATCTTTTCTTCTTGTATCAAGTGACGGCAAAATTCTGTGCATAATTCAGAAACAGAATTTATTCTGCATCCTATAGAGACAGCAACAGTGGCCTCGTAATTGCAAAATGTGAACTCCAGGTGCAGCAGAAGGAACTAATGATAATCAATTGACTGAAAAACAACATGGCAGATGGATTTCAGTACAGGTAGATATAAAGTTAGGCCTATGAGGTGAAGGAAATTCCCACCTGACAAGACAAAATCCTGAATAACTCTTAACATGCTAAGAAAATCATGTCTTAAAGTTGCAGTAACTGTAAAAATTAAAGCTCAGTGTTCAGTAACAGTTAAAACAATTAAACAAAATGATGTTTGGGAGTTAGCAGGAAAACAAGTAAGAAAAAAACCTCCATAATTTCCCTCTGTAAATCCACGCTGTGCAAACACTTTCAGTATTCTATGCAGTCTGATTCCTCCTTGACTCATCTCAAACAAAATATAGAAAAAAGCTGAAAAAAAGTTTAGTAAAGAATAACAAGGATGACTGGATGAAGGGAATAGCTTCCACATGAGAAACAATTCAACAGTTGTAACCATTGGATATAGGACAGAGGTATGCAAAATCTAGGATACCTCAATAAGGAACAGCTGTTTATACCTTCTAGAGTCTGCACCTATTAGCGTCTACTACCATCAAATGTGATAGTAAACTCCAAGCAAATAAAAAAAGGTACCTCATCACAGAGTTAGCTGATCAGCAAATATGCTGCTATGGAAAATAATGGGTGTTACATTAGCTCAAACAGCAATTGTACAAGCTCATAGAAGAAAATCCTCTAAGAGCTATCAAGTTCAAAGAAGCCGCTCAGCAAGTCCTTGAGCGCCAAGCTTTGGCAGTTGGGACAGTTTACCAAGGGAGTATTATTTTATTTTTCACCTGACCTTTTAGTTTTCCTTCAGTATCTGCTATTAAAGGTCTAATAGGGCTAGATCAGCTTTTAGCATGATGGGTATAACCATTGTTAAATTATGAGGCAGAAGCACAACTAAATAATGTCATTCATACCATGAAGCACCCAATCCTCACTCCTAGTCTAGGAAATCTGGCAGGAGTTCTGTTAAAACTGGAGCTTGTGGACTGAGTCAGCATGACCCAGTCAAGAACTATAAATATGGAGATCTGCCTGTAGCACAGAATATAATTAAGCATCCTCCAGTACACTTTGTTTCATGAGCTAATAGTATTTTCCATATTGCTTAAAAAGAAAAAAATTAAATGAAAAAAAAAAATCAAGGGTGTTATTTGGGATTCTTTCTTTTCCCTTGTAAAGAGCCTTGACAAGAAATCATGGGAAAGACTGATGCTCCATTGACCATGTTCTTCTTGACAGACAGAACGTATGCAGAGCAAGGAATGTCTTCTCAGGTGGTGAACCAGTTTATAACACTGCAAGGAAGCTGCCAGTGTCACTAAATTACTGGAATGAAATCAGTCACTTTTGATTTTTAACTGAGAGTACAATTCTCTTGAAAAGCATTTCAAAGAGATTTAAAAGAAGAAATAGGTTCAAGACGTTGCTGAGCAATATAACAGGTAATTAATAGGTAATCTTATATGTTATTGTTAATACAAGCTCACATGTTGATTTACCAAATATACTTACAGAGACTGCAGGCTGCGCAAGTTCTGGAGTGCTTCAGTAGGAACCTGGCGTAGTTGGTTATTCTGCAGCATTCTACATTTTGAGTAGCACAAAAAAACAAAACAAAACAAAAAACAACAGAATCAACACGGTAAAGGTATTTTTTTTTCTACTGCAAATTTTCTTCTAAGCTTACCTCCTTTGTACTGGTTTTAGTTCAAGAATACAAGCACAGAAACAATCTACACAAATGCTCCGTTCCCCTCGCTCCTTTCAAAATGCTCATTCTCTCTCTTCAGAGCAAATGATTACATGCAGTACATTAGCTCTGTTAACACCAGCTTTAAGCAGGATTTTCAAAGTAGGCAAGGAACAGATGAAACCTTACTTGCTTTTGATAGAGCTTGAGCTCCAAATTGCCTCCAGTGATTATGAAATTGTCATCCGCATGTACTGATTTCTTTTTCCTTCTGCAGTACTTCTGTTTCTTATTCTGATAAAGTTCCAACAGACCAACTCTTGAAATTCTCACTTAAGAAAAAACTACTATGGCCAACACCATTTTTAACTTTATGAGCAGTTTATGATTTAGTTTGTATAAATTTGTCTCAGTAAGATCTGCTGAAAATTTCCCAATGAAATCAGTTTTCTCAGAAGGAAGTTTGTTAGCAATGAGCTGATAAATTTATTTTCTGAGGCTGTCACATGATTTAGCTTGCAAAGACAGAAGAATCTTTTTAAATTCCAGGAGAAACTTTTCTTACCTTCGAATACATTTTCACTCAAACTGCCTGACATCCTTGTTTAGACCAACTCCTCCATTTATGAAAGGATTCTATCTGGGTAACACTGGAATAGTACATGTCTTCAAAACAAAGTATACTCAGTGGGACATTGTAAATGAAATCCTTTTTGGCAGGCTTGAAGCTCTGTAGGCCAACAAGAGCTACAGCTGCCCAACTTAAGAGTAGATGGAATGGGTAGTTCTTTGTACTTCCATCTAATATCTTTGAAGTAAAGCTTAGTATGCTTTTATAGTAGCATCTGGCTTGGCTTGACACTGCCTAAGAGGTTGGCGTTTTTGCAAATAAAAGAATTCCTCTGAACTGAAGGAAAAGATCCCCTTTTACAGATATACAGTGACTTTTGGCCTGCTAATAGTTTTAGTAACTGTATATGTCATCTCACTACTTCATTTTAGTCATTTTCTTAATAACTTATCTTAATTAGATTACAAAGAACAAGATACAAAATGAGAACTAGATTGTAAATTGCGGCATGTTCTACAATAATGATTTCCCTCCCATCTCTCAAGAAAAGGAAAAGGCAATATACCCCCACTTCTGTGTGATCATGAAAAGTCCAAAGGTTTTTAGGCCTGAACACAGAATTTTTGAGACAACTACAGAAACTATGAACTGAACCAATTTTTACCTTTGATATTGTACAGAGACATCTACTTGATGAGCAAGTTGTTTTTAGAATGCGATTAATGCTTTCCAATTTTTGTGTTTAGGATATTTTCTATACGAAAAAACAAAGATTTAATGATGTTCATATGTATCTTCACTTCAACTGAACTGTTCAAAATGAGCTGATCAAAATATATAATTTACTTGATCAAAACTTCACTGGTTAATTAGTTCCCTGGAGCATTTAGGAAATCAGAAATATATCAAACAACACACAGTTTACTTACAGCACTTTAAGACTGAAAAGGCCAGCAAATGCTCCCTTAGGAATGTATGTCAAGCCATTTCCTGCAAGACGTCTGCAAAGTTTGAAAAAGGGAAAGAAAAAAGGAGTGAATAGTTTTTTCCTTCATGTGGAATTAATTTGGTTGCTAAAAAGTGTAACACAGCTATGTTTGAAAGACTGATGCCAGAGGTAGTAGTAAAAGAGCCTTGTTTTGTCATTAATATACTTTTAAAAGCAAAATATCAAGAGGAGCTCTTAACTGTATAGTTGATTTACTGACAGCTGGACTGCAGAGACAAAATGCAAGTTCATTATAAATCAAGATTATGGCTAAAAATGGACAATTAATTCTTTGTAGTCCTCTTTTTAAGCACTAGAACAACCTCAGTAACTAAAATACAGATACACTAACAATAATTAGCATCAGGAGACTTACAGGCATACGCTTTTGGAATTATGTATATATGATGTCTGTGCACATTTAACTCAGCTGCAATAACTCATTTCCACATAATATCAAAATATATCCACATAGTAAAGAATAAAGTTCATTTTACAATAACAATACCCCAAACTTCTCTGCTGGTGGCATGATAGTGTATTTGCTAAAATATGTAGGTTTTTTTTTCCCTAATTCTGTTGTACTCTTCTTCTCAGAATGCCTCAAAATACTTTACAGACCGAGGAAAGTACAACAAATATCTCTGTAAAGTATGGTACTCTGATAAAAAGAAATTAAAAAATAGAAGAAAGTATTATGTAGGATTTGTTCCTGTGGAAGAAAGTCTTCATAGGCTGCACTGAAAGTAATGCCTATTTATTTACACTGACAGTACTACAGAGAGCACAATAGCACTATTTGATAGAGCGAATTCTCAGCTACGAAACATTATTTTTCCACACAGTTACGACCATTAGCCGTGCATTTTTACCAGTGATGAATAAGAGCTTGCATGCCGTACTTGTAACAATCTGCACCAGCAGAGGTGCCCCGCTGTCACTGTTGCCACTGCTGAAATGCAGCACCCGCCATCTCACTCTGCTCACAACAGCTGCTTCATCTCCATAAATGTTCAGCAAGTGGCGACGAATGTCAGTGGGTACCATTCTTTCTGCGTGGAGGAATTCACTGACACCCCTTTGCTTCATATGTACTTCCATATCAGATGCCATTGTGTCAGACTGCTGCTCTGCTGCCATCTGTTGCACGGCAACAAAATGTAATGGAATATTGGTGGGAAGATTCAACCAGTACTGCCATACCACCAATGTGCACCTCTGATGTCGTGGGCCAATATAATAAAATAGGAGGCACTGCCTTTGGGAGCAGCCCTCATATTTTTGATGTGAAGTGCCATTGGTATGTTCCTCAGCAGTGGAACTGCAGAGCATCTTGCATTTACCCTCCTGACATTGCAGTGAGTGGTTGGGGTGAGAATGAAGTTACTGTGTGACAGTAGAGCCCTGCTCTACATCCATGCTCTTGGATGGCCACAACTGTGGATTGATATGATTTCATCACATACCAAGTGAAGCCAAGTAGAATTATTTGAAATTTCTCATCAGTTAAGATATTGTACATCAAAATTGCAGTTAGCACATGTGGTGACAGAGCTGACATTTGATTTGGCATTTGACACCTTAGGAAAGACCAGAGGATTTATTCCATCAAAAGCCTTGAGCTGCCAGAGGGGAACCTATAGCACTGAAGTAGGCACCAGAGTTGCTAATCCTGTTTGTGGAAAGTGCCAGGTGCTTGGAACTGTAATCCCAAAGATCCAGCACTGATTGTTCTTAAACTTCATCTTCTTTTGAAGCTTATTTGCCCCAAGATAATTACAGAGTCCTGGGCACACTTGCTCTTTAGAATTCTCTTCCACACAGAAAAATATTGGTCACAGTGGAAGAAAACTTGACTCTAGATGCCAACTCCAATGACTTTTCATGCATTTTAAATTTGGGGAAAGCATCTTCCCTGTGCGCACAAAATTGCTGACTGGTGTGACCTTGCTCAGAGAGTGAAGTTCTCTTCTGCAGAGCTCACTAAGATAGAGCCACTGAGCTCAGTGCTCACATGAGATGCACCGGGCTCTGAGGTTCAGGCATCTGAGACCTGCGTATGTGCACCTGTGCTCCAGCAGGAAGATCAGTGAGCAGAACTGCACAAAGACAAAGAGGCACTCAGCAGCCAAGCTGACTTTATTTTAATGCATGAAGGGCTCCTGCAGCTTCATCGTTCATTCTGGATGGAAAGGAATGGCAATGACTGTTGGGTTGCTACTGGATAAATCAGGCATGTACTACAGAAGGCACTGGTTCTATGAAAACAAATGCTGTTTGTGAATCACAGACCAGCAGAAGTTAGAGATCTCTCTAATGCTGATCTCAATTTACTAAATAGAGTTTTGGAAGGACTACAAAATGTTTAACCCCCTCAGTCTTTTGCACTGTTATTTTACTGATATGACTGAACTCTAGCCTTAGACATGAATCAGAAGAGGCTGCAAAATTTTACTGAAAAAAAGAGTAGGCACAGGTGGGAAGGAAGGGACAAGGGGAAATGGTTTTAAGCTGAGGGAGAGAAGATTTAGTTTGGATGTCAGGGGGAAGTTCTTTACTGTGAGAGTGGTGAGGTGCTGGAACAGGCTGCCCAGAGAGGTTGTGGATGCCCCGTCCCTGGAGGTGTTCAAGGCCAGATTGGATGGGGCCCTGGGCAGCCTGGTCCAGTATTAAATGGGGAGGTTGGTGGCCCTGCATGTATTAAATGGGGGGTTGGAGCTTGATGATCTTTGAGGTCCCTTCCAATCCTGGCCATTCTGTGCTGAGGTTTCCACTTACTAAAAGTGTCTCACTGAGTATCATGGAGAGTTCAATAAAAAACAGGTAACTCATATCTCCAAAGACTCAAGCTGGCACTGTCAGGGCACCATTGTGTCTTAAAGAGTGGCTGTGTTGCAATAAATTTCATAGCTGCTGCAAAGCAAACTACCAGACACACTACATGTTCATACTGCTTCTCGGATCTGAAATATTCTTTATTTAAAAAAGGTTAGCTAAGAAAATTAGACCTCTTTAAGCACTCTGGTATGGTAAGGATGCTCCTCCCTGCTTTAAATGCAGCACTGTGGTAATGTAATTGGGACACTAACCCAATTTAGCTTTTTTTTTTTTGTTTCAATGTGTAATACTGCCTCTTTCTAGATTAACAAGAAGTCTTTCTGTGGTAAGCCTTAATGCTTGGCCGTTTTTTTTTGAAAATGGACAGTCATAATTTTTAAAATGGTTTTATGGTACCTGTAATATATAACTAACAGTCAGAAAGAAATACCTATGCACAGAGATATTCATATACATATGGCTACTTGGCTCATGGGCATTCAGCACAGTTTTAATGAGACTGTACTGCAGAAAGTTATATTTACTTTTCCATGTATCTTTTTTTCCCTGTTTCCTTCTGCTGTCAGTTTTTGTGAACAAAATTCTGTCTCTAGGAGAAAATTTCCTAAACTGTTTTTATTGTAATGCCCATTTGAATTATCCAGCCACCCACAACCACTGTTAGAGCATTACCCACCTGCATGGCCCCAGTTTCACCGTTCAGAGGAATATCTGAAGTTGACAAACAGCTATAAGCAAAGGATGCTGATCCTGAGCTATTTGAATGATAGTTATCTGCACGATTAAAGTGAGATGTAATTCCTCCCACTTTTTTTTTTTTGCCTTTTTTTCAGATTCCAAATCTCATTTTGTATTCTGTTTCTTTTCCTGTTAGATCACAACTTCTCAATTAGAAAATATCTTGTCAATTAAATGTCTTTTCATTTATTAAAAGTCCACTTTAGACAGAGGAAACCACATGTTAATCTTCTATTTCGTAAGCAGAGCTTCTGTGTTTACGCCTTATGAGTTTTTCAAGCCCCAGGTCATTCTTTTAGCTCTGCTTTGATTATTTTTCAGTTTGGGAAGAGCTCTAACTGATTTTGTAGACAGTGATTACTATCCTTTTAGATTACACTCCTTTGCTTATGTAGCAGAGAATCATGTTTATCACGTAAGCCCATCATATTTCAGTGGAGGACTAAATTAAATATATCACACATGCCAAAACAGATGTATGTCTGTGCAGCTCTCTTATCAAGCAAACTGACAACATCAGAACAGGTAGACTTTTGGCAACATTTATTTTCTATATAATGATGATGTCTGACCTCCAGTTACCAAAGTAAATTCTTTCTCATGACATCCTTTTCATGATTTTCCATTGGATGCAAGTCAGGCAAACCACCTATCCATTCCCAGGATGCTCCATAAGACCACTTCTGAACACTGGCACAATAGCAGCATCTTCCCAGCCCTTTGGAATTCCCCAGCATTGTGGGATTTGGAAAAAATCAGCAATAATGATTCATTGGGCTCATTGTTTAATTCTTTCAATATTCTTGGATGGAAGTTAGCACACCAGTTATTTAAGACATACTGCAAAGCTCATTAAATTTGGCTTATTTGTTCCCAACCATTTTAATGCCTTCCTTCTGGATTTTTTTCTTGCTATTGCTGTGTTTCTATTCTCAGTCTTGGCATAGGGGAAAATAAATCCCCTTGTTGACTCTACAGGTATCTATCAAGCATCTGTCAGGGTTTACTCATCTCCATATCAGGGATTTTGTTTTCCATTACCCTAAGCTATTTCAGGGAAGCTGCCCAGTACTTTTACTGAACTTTGGATGGACTCTGGGTAGTGATTTCAGTCTGGATAGGTAAATATCGCTTTCCCTGAATAGATGAGGATGGACATCCTATCTATTTCTACAGTTTAGCATTTAGTTAATGATTTCTGAGAGGAGGAATAAACTAGCTTTTTCATAACACTTACATAACCAAATGGCTGGCTTCTACTGTTAGAAGAACTCTAAATTTCAGTTTTTAAAAGTAAATTCTTTTCTTTTCCAGCATTTCTGAGAATTATTATTTTAGAAATATCACATTAAACTAATTCAGGCTCAAAGTTATCATATCTCTAATGAAAAGATAATCAAAAAAGTCAGTATTGCTGATTCTGGATCGCATATATCT